GCAGATTAAGGCTTTCTAAAATTGCAGTTGTTTAAATTAATCATTAGTTAAAATAAAGACAATGCATTTTGCACTAAAAGAACATACTTTTAGCCACCAAAAATCCCAAACTGTGTCGACATTTTTTTAAAAATCAAAAAAATCAAAAAAATCCGATTTAAATTTTAAAAAATCTGATTTAAATTTTTTTAATCGATTTTTTAAATTTTTATCCAAAAAAAAATAAATCACCAACCCTGCCCCACACACACACTCACCCTGGGGCAAAAAAAAAAGTCCCAAGTCGAAACAAAACAAAAAAGATCCTTTTACTTAAAACCAAACAAAGGGGTACAAATATACAAGCAAAATGCCCTTGAAACTTCCAGAGAAACAACCACTACCCCCGTCCCCCGCTCAAAAGAAAAGGAAAAAAATTAATAGCAGAAAAAACCCCACACAGATTCTGCAATGAACAACATCACCAACAGCTCTGATAGCAACAACAACAACAACAACAACAACAACAACAGCAACAACAACAACAGCAACAACAACAAAACCACCACCAAGAACAACATCAACAAGAGCTCTGACAGCAGCAACAACAATAACAACAACACTACCACCAAAAACAACAACAACAAAAACAACAACACCACCACCACCACCTGCAACAACAGCAAAACACAACCACGAAAACCCCAGATTATCGCCCTCCGAGATAACAGTATCAGTTTGGCCCCAGTTTAAAATCCTCAGTGAGAAAATGTTTCTGATTAGCTTCACTGCCGGATACATGTCGGCTGTCTTGAAGCTGACGTCGTCCTAGTTACGGTAAGCTATTTACTGGCGCCGTTTTCTGCTGGGTTTGTCTTTGGAGTAGTGTTTCTTTTGATATACCGCGGTCAACCCAACCCGGACCTGACTACAACAGCTATCTTTTATCTCCTGCTACTGTTTTTCCGCCATTCTCTGCGCCAGATGAGTCCTACTCTGCCGCCCGACAAGTCGCCGGCCCTACAAGGCACAGGGTTGACAGTTCAATTCTCTGTTTGGAGGGGCAGTACGGTGTACCCTTAATTGGTCGCTTTTAAGAACAAGGGGCTGTTCCGAAAAATGCTGTTTTGAGAAAATCAAAGGTAAATTTTTTGCCCCTTGTTCAGTTTCTTTAAAAAACAAGGAGAGTTTTCTCTATAACCAAACAAATATACGCCGTAATGAAACCAAACCTCTCCTATAGATAGGGCAATGCCCACTTTTGGTGTAGGTCAAGATTTCTGGAAACCCTCGAAATCTGGGTAGGCCCGCTTCATTCAAAAGCGACCTATTAAGGCAAGCAGCTTAACCATTTTGCTCCGTGTCCCATCGACTTTCCAATTAGTAGTAGTAGTTGAGTACGTGTGTAAAGAGAAAGCCACAGGCTGTCCAAAAAAGTTGGTCACGATGGATGCCCCCTCCCCCCCCCCCGAACAGAAATAGCAAGCTAAAATTAAGAAGTTAATGGCCACCAAGTAGGTTCGTTGTGAAGTCGACCAAGCCTTTGTTCGGAGAAGACAAACAGGACAGACCAGAGGAAGGAAGAAAGAAAGAAAGACAAGCTTACTTTCCCTGACGACGCGGGAACTCGGAGTGCGATATTGTAGACAAACAGTCCGAGTATACGACACAAGACCACTCCAGGCAAACACGTGAACTTATTCAAATACTCCCCCTGTATCTTTGTCTCTCTGTCTTTCTGTCACTCTATCTCTCTTTCTCTCTGTCTGTACCTGTTCCGTTAACTTGGGTACATTCTGTGGCACCATTCCGTCGTCTGGGATGAGAGAGTTCTTTGCCCCCCCCCCCCCGCCTCCCAGGGCGGTGCTACTGACTGAAGTTGTCTTTGGGCCATTCCCAAAGGGGGGATATTAGTATTAGCAAGTTCTTATGATGATGCACAGTAGAATTGTAAATGGGCTGATTTATCAATGTCATGCTCATACTGTGCTGGAACAACATAGGGGGAACTGCTGCTTTTTCTTTCCTCATCCTTACTATCGTCATTTTCCTCTACTTCTTTTGTATGTTTGTCACTCTCTTGTGACCCGCTATTTCCGGGGTGCCTTGATAGTCGAAGCAGACTTTGTGCTGTTGAAGCTAGAGAGGTGAGCAGAGTAAGCCTGATTCCCCGTTTAGACTTCTCTGTTGACATCCACCCCATGGCGCTCATATGACCTTATGTAATTGCGAGCGCCGTAAAACCTTACTAAAACCTAAGAGGGTTCTTTTACCTGCGGTCTATGGATGTATCGAGAAACGAGTGGGAGCCAATTCTATCTACGACGGACTAAATAGAGGTCCGCATTTTGTTCTGAAATGATTCTTCTGTTCCGAATAAATTACACTGGTCACTCTCTTTTTGGCTAAAACAGCGCCTGGACATGGACGGTTGGTGCCTCTAGAGATAAATAATTGATGGTCAAAGTAAAATACACAAGAAAACTACAGTATTCTTTACATCTATTTGGGTTTTTCATTCTCAAAATTGTGACGTCTAATAGCTAAAAAGTACTTGAAATTCAGATAGAACCCTTTTTAATATAGACGGTTGACGGGTGCTCTGGAGTGGTTTGTTCCTTCTTTCCTATCAAATATCTATCGTCCTGGTCTCTCCTCCTTCTTTTTGTGTTTGTAACACCTCTAATCTTCGGCACATAATAATATGACCTTATCGTGTGGCAAGTGCCGTAAAACTCTTACTAAAACTAAGCTAACCCTCTTACCGTCATATTATATTATGTTATACATGTAATATATTATTACAAGGATTTGCCAAGGACCGCGGTGTGGTGTGGTGTAGTGTAGTGTATGTAGTGTTTGGAGCACGGCTATGGACGAACAAACACTTGGCGAGGACACACTTGACTGACCCACCGTCCCATAAACTGCCGTCTGTCTGACCGATTTCCGACCTCCGACGTCTGACGTTTCACAATCGTTGCCCCTCGTGACTTTCCGGAATGTTCCGTCCTTTTCCTTATTTGGTATGGCGTCTATACGATCGGAGACGAAGATAATTATAACACCCCCCTGAAAAGATGCTAGCAATGCTCTTTATGTCTGCCCCACGAAGCAAGGAGATACCAGAAGCCCCATCATAGATCTAGATTAGATCTAATTCTTCTACCTTGTATCATTATCAGATTTATTTTGTATCACGCTTTCAATTCGGAGAGCGCATTGTGCACTGATGCTGAACGCGTGAAGGTGTGCATATTTGTGTCATGACGCGGTGGAATCAGGCGCTCGTCAAATTTTGGGCATGTAGAGTCATTGGTATAATCTGAAAGCTTTTAGATTTGCTTTGCTTTCAGTGAAAAAAACAAAACAAACCCATCTATCTTCCATAGAAGTCAAGATATTTGTGATTGAATGTAGTGGGTGAGGTCGCTTGGTTTTAATGGTGAAATTTGCGAGAAAATGGTAGCCAAACTTTGGTAACTCCATCAGCGATAGAAAGAGTCCTTGAAAGCTGAAAAATGACATAATGTGTGTGTGCCTTTAGTCAACGTTTTTCGTAAAATTCACAAGGAAATTTGTTTTTATATGGACATACGAGGGATTGAGTCAAAAACAAAATCGATTTTTTAAAAAGCCACACTGGCAGAAAAAACGCCCCTTTTCCCCCAAGTTTCCTTATTTTGACGAGCGCCTGATTTCCCCACGATGCCTCACATTCGTTTTTCTTTTTTGAAATGCACAATTCTTTGACGACGTTACATATACACGTCCAGTGATGCTGAACACACAGAGAGACGTAATTACTGACTGAGCCCACGGTATTTGTGGTTGTCCAAACTGCGATGATGCGTGGTCCACGGCATTGTGTGTCTTCCGGTCTGTTTTGTCGTTTTGTTCGTCTCTTGTCCCCTCCCCCCCCCTCCCATCTTGCTAGATGGAGATACATATTATTCTTATTAAGTATGTGGGTGGTAGATGGACTCATAAAAACAGTGTGTGTTATATATTATATTCACAAACACAGATTAGATAAGTACAGAAAAGATTATAATAT